ATCAAAATTATTCCAATATAGCCCAACATGTAATCTCAATTTTTCCCCCTTTTTTGGAAACTGGATATAAAGTGTACCGAAATAACAACACTTAAAGCGGCAAAACATGCTATGTTTAATCGGATTCTTTCTGATGTGCACTGACATAAATCCCAGAAGTCATATTCCAGACCAACTTACAGATTAACATGACAAATTTAAAACTATTTATATATATTACTGATGCTTAAGTCACGGTCAGCACTTTAGAATGTCATTGCCATTAGTGTCGATTCCAGATTTAACTTTATCAATAACAATCGTGCTTATTTCTTAAACAACACAAAGGAACTGTTTAGTTGGTGGTACAAATCATGTTAACCCTTTTTTTTTTCACTCGAAATTCGCATTTTACGTAAACTTTAATCTGTCTTCTCTTATTCTCTTATCTTTTGAAATTAAAGCCTTGATTTTAAGGTTGTTTAAAATGACTAGAATTTTGGAACTTTTTAAAATAAATAAATGAATATCTTATTTTTACTTGTTCTCATGCAGCACATCTGACTAAGAGCGAACGCAATATAATGGCATTTTACTCCCATTACAATTACCTTATATTTGCATGAAACCTTTTAATTAGATGAAGAAGTAGATAGTAGGCTGACATTCGAACTTAGTTTTTGTTTCTAGAAATTGCTCATTAAAGTTGAATACTTATCCTGCTTACTCTGATGTATTGTATATAATTCCAAAAAACATTTATATTTTCAACATTTATGAGGTTCTATTGTAGAGACCCCTATCGGGAGTTTTGAAAGTAATTTTCCTCGAAGATGTCATAATTGGTATTAAATTATATTTCTCGCATGTAACGAAATCTTTTGACTAAGTATTTTTTTACAATTTTATCAAGTTCACTAAACTTAAGGAGCATGAGATTATTTGATCCGAAATATTTAAACAGCTGAGACTATTTTACCTACAATATTTAAACAGCTTATACTATCTTTCCTACAATATTTAAACAGCTTATACTATCTTTCCTACAATATTTAAACAGCTAAGACTATCTTACCTACAATATTTAAAGAGCTGAAACTATCTTACATACAATATCTAAACAGTGTGAGACTACTTTCAGAACACATTAACAACATGTAAACAGCTGAGACTATCTTACCTATGATCAGCTGTTTACATTAGTTAATGTGTTCTGAAAGTAGTCTCACACTGTTTAAATATTATAGGTAAAATAGTCTCAGCTGTTTACATGTAGTTAATGTGTTCT